AAAAAAAAAAAAAAAAGAAAAGAAGAAGAAGAAGAAGAAAATGGGAAAGGTTAATTTCGGGCAATAATGAATTTGCATGACAAATAATTTAAGAAGCTTTTTGAAAATGCAATACCAAACTCCTTGTGATTTCTTAATTACCTGAGACCATACAGGAATAATAATCGGGGTGTGGATGCAAATGTGACGACGCCTGGATTCCTTGTGCTTATCAAACATCCAGTTCATTATACGAAAGAGTTGCAACATTCTTTCATCACTTCTAGCATTTGGAGTCAATGATGTCTGAACTATAAAATGACGCTGAGAGCCATCAGATCCCATCAGAGTCAAACGGCGGAAACTGCTACCATGCCTTCTCACAATAGGGATATCAGCTCCTACCCTATCCAACTTAATTGTATGATCCGGTGCGACTTCCTGAGGGAAAAAATTGATCTATTTTTATTTGGAGTCGAATTAAAAACCAAAAGCTCAGTACCACAAAACGATTACATTAAATGAATAACCTGATCGGTAAAATATTGCCCAGGAACCTCCACATCAACAACATGGAAGTCCCGTAATACCCTGCTCTCATCCTCCAACTTCAAAACAGCTGGAAAACGATCCTCAACATTGCTCTGGAGAATATTCTTCCAGTGCTTCAACCTTGCAGTTAGATCTGCAAGGGTAACTGGAAAAGTTGCATTGCTTTCTGGATCAAGGTCGCGCTCAAATTCCTGCTTGTACTCCCTCACAAATTCAACATGCTTGTTCACGGCATCTGCCGAGAAGCAAGCTCTGCAAACCCCCGAGAGCTCTTTCTTGAGAGACTGGGGAACTTCCGCTGTAGTTGCTGTTGGGTACTTATAACAACGATGAAGCAGGGCGTTTACTACAGCTAGCAATCTCTCCTCAGGCAAAGTGACAAATCTCGAGCCAATTTCTGTGAGAAGAATCTTCAAGAAAAAAAAAAGTAAAATACAAATTAATTCAAGCATAGGCAAAGTCTTCAGATGAATTCAAAATTATGCACAAAGCAACAGGAATCCTGGCATTTCTAGACAAATTGACAAAGAAATTTAATAAGAAATATACCATTTACTCCGTCACACAATGAGATAAAGTATGTTACCATTTCAGGTGTCCCATCTCATTGCTATATTTGGTATGTACTTAACTTCTCATTCCATGTATGCCCCAAATGATTATCTTAGTAGGATCACACTAGTATATTTGTTTAGATTAGCTTTATAAACATGCTGACAATGAAAAAACATTTAACAGAGTACTTATTCCATGTGAACTACTAATGGCATATGTTTATGACATGGATAGGTACCAATTGCTTATACAACTATGAAACGAGATGAAATAAAAAGCATAGCAAACCAATAAACTACCTCAAGTTCACTAGCCAGATTAGTGTGTTTGCTCCTAAGAGTTTCCATTATGTCTTTTGCGGCTTCAAAAGCGCTGGCAGCTGAGACTACCATTCCCATGTCACTGTTTCGGCGCACTGCATTCTGACCTCCCTCATTGTTGGATGAACTTTGATGCAATTGTTGGTCACTTCCAGAAGGCATGCTACTTTCAGCAGCACCCGGCCTTTCAGTTTCCTGCCCCTGAGAGACACTCCCATCGTGGGACCCAAGACCTCCGGCAGATTGAATACCGTGATGAAGTTGATTTTCCGAGACCAATGTGGACCCACCCTGACTAGCCCCCCTCGCACTTCCATCGGTCAAGCCCATAGAGACAGCTGCCCCAGCACCCGAGACATTTTGCTGCATTCTTTGCTGGGCCATTGCCATTCTACCAAACTCAGACTTATTCGCAACATCACGCCGTTCTAGAAGATAAGTTCGAAGCCAGTAATACAATGCCTGAGATTTATTAGATGGTATTAGCACAGAGGACATCTAGTATCTGATAATGGAAAAAATACCTACTAAGTGACATCTACCTGAGGATACACTGTTGCAACTTTAAGCAAAACAAGTTTGCAATGAGGAGCTTCAGTCCTTTGTAAGGATAACAGTAGCTGGGGGATCCAAGACAGCCAGACCCAGTGAGGTATTTGGTCCAAGTACTTATCAAATGCCCTACCCACAGGTTCATTGGGAGTATCGAAGCTGAGAAGATATAGAACTCGGGCTAGGTGGCTTCTCGAGTTTGGAATTCCAAATTTGATGCCCTGAAGGAAGCAGCTTACTGCATATTCTAACCAAACCTCTTCATGAGTTTCCCTGTAGGCCTGTGAGAAAGAACACGATAAGCACTTACATTATACAAACACAAAATATAATAGACAAGGATTGGATAGGGACTTGCATCCAAAAACAAAAAACTATAGGAGACATGGATAGTGTTCTTACCATGTCACAATAAGTTCCCCAACTGATCCAACCTTTAGGCAAGTTCTTGAAGAGGGTGATCGCATTCGAATATGCAAGGTTTGCGCCTTCACAGTCACTTAGCTTCAGCAGAAAATCACCCTTCAGGCGATAAATCTCAGCCTTGTGCTTAACAGGAAAATACTCCAGATTAGTACTGTTAATCAAATTAAGACCACTGGTTAGCTCCCCCTTCATCTCCAAGTATGCTTTTGCTTGTTCTCTTATTTTGACAAATGCCTCCTACAAACAATAAATAAAAATTGTTACAAGAATTAAAAAACAGCAAGAAACAAAAAATATTACTCCCTCCATTTAGAAGTAAGTTTTGTTATAGGTTGAGTTTTTCTTCTCTAATTATTCGTTGTTTTATTTTTTTCGATTAACATAATAAATCGTAAAGAATGAAAAGGGAATAATCAAATTATAAGAGATAGAGAAAATGATTATAGCAAGAAAAGAAAGTAGAAATGTATAAGGAAAGTAACATACAAGTTATATAATTAAAGGAGATTTGACTGTAATATTAGGCATGACATGAATTGTTAAATCTCCGGGTTTTTTTTTTCTAGAACGACACTTATTTGTAAACAAAGGGAGTATTTGCACCACCTTTCCCATTGAGATTCCAAACTCCTAGTGCGTCACACACACACACATATATAGGCAAAGAGAAAGGGTCATAATGGAAAAAATGGTAAGGATATATAATGGCAAAGATCCAGCGAACCTGAACTTCCATTGTGGAGTGACCATACATCTTTTCCAGAATAGAAACACAAACGTCATATAAGCCATGCTTACGAGCAATGTGGGCAAGCTTATTGACATTCCATGCCTTGTCTCGGTAACCCAGATGATGCAGCTGTGAATTTGTGTTCGCAAAATCCTTGAATGCATCTATAACTGCATTGTACATTTCATTCCTCCACTGTAGCAAATCATACCAAACAGACATGCTATCCCATTCATTCGGTGTTCTCAATCTCCAAGTCTCAAGAATATCCTTGAGATCTGCATATAAGCCACCATGCACACCAACAGAATTACCAGAAAGTTTGCTCCCATTTGCAATATCCACAATAATTCTAGCAGATTCTTGGACTTCGACTAATTGCTGAAATTGCTGCAGAAGAGGTATTCTGGCATGTATGGACATTTCAGGCAATTGCCACCACTGTTCCAAAGCAAGTTCAACACCTTTCCCCACTATGTTTTCAGCCTCCGGAACCCCATTGGTATTCTTCTCATGAAGCGCAAAATATGCCTGAATAATACGAAGTTTTGGGGTTTCTTCTAATTGAGCCTTCGGTATAACTTGATCTTTCAAATACACCCAATCCGGCTGTTTCCAGAGACTATCAAGTAGTATTTCATAATTTTCAATAAGTTTTCCAAATTCAGACAGAGCATCCCATTGACTAAGTTGAGTAGCACAATGGAGCCACTGCTCCTCCCAAAGGCACATCTCTGCTTTCGGTACAGTATTATTGTAAGTGCCCTGGGTTGCCTTCACCATGGCTTGGTAGAAAAGGCTTTGTGCCCTTTGCCAATAACCATGTTGAACAAGTGAAAGACCAGACCTAGTTTCTGCAGTAATTGACCGTTTTATCCACAAACCACACCTCATATCTTCCTCATTGAGCAAACGATACAGCTCAGCCAGAGACTCTGAACACTTCGTGTCATTCAAAAACAACATTACATGACTTTCAAGCAGTCCTAGCGCAATGTGCCACGCATTATATGTCTTTCCTATGTATTTGATTAGTTCACTGGGCATCCGTGGTTGTGGATGACTTAATTGAAGCCCCTCTAAAAGCGCCTGCACAACATTTGGGCGATGTGCTTGCTGCTTCTTGTGATAATCTTGTGACAAGAGAGCTATCATGGGCTTAGCGAGTGCCACCTGCTCTTCCTTATGCAAGGTCACCCAAACAATGGGAAACACCAAAACCCACAAATGATATGCAACATTTGCATCTGTATGGGCAAGTTCTCTTAGTGGGATAATAAGATCAGCAACCTACAACATGAAAGTAGATTGGAAATAATTGATTTCATATAGTTGAGAAGGAAAAATAGCAAGCAGGGAAATGTACAAACACAAGAATGGAAAAGAAAAGAATAAACTGAAGCAGGAAAGGTGCCATAGAAAGACAAAAGGTTACTTGGCCAACGTCTGATGAGTTCAATGAAGATGTCGGAACCATAGAAACAGAAGTGTGATAAGTGAAATCAAATGCTACAAAGCATAAGGCCATATGCCACCATGGCCATGCTAAGTGATATACCCCTCTATTGAAGTGCATCAGCCTCATTCATAATCCAAATTCTAGAAATGAATCACATAGAAAACAGTACCTTAAGTTTGCTCATTTCATTAAGAAAATGGGCATGCTTAAAGACAAGGGTATCAAGTGTTAAAGGAGCTTCCTCTGAGCCTTCCGGAACATCAGTAGCCATTGGCTGCGGTCCTGTACTATCAGGAATAGCATTTGACACCAAAACCGATGAGATCTTTGCTGAGTTTGGAGCCAGTGTTATGGGTTTGTCCTCAACTAATATAGCCAAAAGGAGATCAAGCCCTTGCTTTAGCCAAAAGACATCACTTAAAGCCTCCCAATCCTGAGTTTGAATAATATACTGCAGCCTAGTAAACAATGTTTTTCCAAGAGACTCATGATAAAGAGCAAAAAACTTCCTCCTCATTTCAGGATCTTTTGCACGTAAGCCCAGCAAATAATGTCTCTCCACTTTCAGAAACACTTCTTGACGTAGAGAAAGAGGGTACCTGCATTGTAGCATCATTAGTACTTCATTACATATATACAAGTTTAAAGAAATCAACAGTACCAGAAGTGTAGTTACTTATTTGTGTCAGCACAAAGTCCATAAAGAAGCTCAAGATACTTCTGGTCCCATTCTTCTGCAGCGCTAAGAGAAAAGTTCTGCTTATCCACTTGTGAAAGCTTCTGGAGAAATGAAACCACTTCCTTCAAAGTGATAAAAGTACTAGGTGCAACAGGTGTTCCAGGTTTACCAAAATCGTCTTCTACCCAACCCTTGATTAAATCAAGAATGCAAAGCAGCACAGAAGGATCAGTACCCTTTTCAGATAACAACGAATTCAGAATTTGAATCACAGATCTTTTGCAATCAGGTATGATCATCACTCGTCCTGTGATAAGTTTCAACACTGATTTTAAATTGGCAATGACAACCCCAAAATCAGCAGCCTGGCGAGAAGAAGTGACTGCAGAGTCTGGGTCTGATCTCTGGATCTGGATGGGCAAACAAGAAACCTTGGTGTGTGAATAACAATGAATGCAGCCAAAATTTAAAGAAAGCATGAACATGTAAGAAGGAACATCAACAACGTAAAAATGAAGGCATCATTCATTCCTGAGCAGTAGGAGAATGGACCTAATTCTCAGAATGCAGCTAGATGTTGGTATAAAATTAAAAACTAAGAAAGCAAGCAAATTGCATGGAATGCCCCGATTGAAAGAGAAACGTACTTGTCTTGTAGTAGTGCTGCTAGATAATCCCATATCTCGTGCAAGGCGCTGGAGGACACGAACCAAATTAAATGGTTCAATGAGGTTTTTATGTACCTCCGCCAAAGATTTAATGACATACAGCACAAAACTAATCATGCTAGAAGAATTATCTTCTCCGGATGCTTGAGGTCCTGCCACCACAGCAAGGTGTTTTTGTACTAGCTCCTCCACTTTCTGATACAACATCTTAACCTCTTGCGGTGTGTTCACTGCTTCAGGAGGAAATGCAGTAGAAACCATTTTCAACAGGGAGCATAATGAATTTCCAGCATCAAGCATTTTGAACTTGAAGCATGGTTCCAGAATCTGCAAAAGCATAATGAATATGAAGTCATACATTGGATCTGAAGTCTTAGAAAGCTACTTACCAATCATGATTCTCTGGTACATACCTGGGATATCTGGCTGATATTGTTTCTTACAAACAAATGTGGTTGCTTTTCCAAAACCTTATTCATTACATCTAAACCCTGGGATAAAGCAGTAGATGGGTCCTTCGATTGAGATGATGGAGTACTGCTTAGCAGCTTCTCCAAATAATTGAATTTGACATTAGCACTGGACCACACTTCCAAAGCTTGCGATAGAAGTTCCAGAGCTTGCTTGTACATGAGACTTGCCTCCTTATCTTTAGGTTCTATAACTAGAGCAACCTATATAAGAAAACCATGGCAATTATACCCCACAGATGGACTAATGGTTGAAATAGTTTCATGAATCACGGCTGATAATGGGAGATGAAAACGTACAAATGATCACAGAATCAAGCAGAACCACACAACGATTGCCTGTTTCGTTTTGTTCTATATTTCATTTAACTAAAATGGAGCGTTTTAAGGAGCTCAGAAATCTAGTAAACAGACAATAAGACAGATTGTTCAAAAATAATAACACACTTCACAGCAAGTAATTCAATTAAGGGAAGAGTTGCATGACATAATCCGCAGCAGACAAGCATTCAGGACCCAAAAAAAGATAAGACATAACTGTAAACAAACATGAGTTAATTGGAAACTTTCAAGAAAATACTTTCGAGCAAAAGTGTTTTATATGAATCACATATATCCACAAGAATTTCCTGCTACATTGTCCACACGGAATTCTCTAGACAACAAAGTAACAGTTTCTGAATTGCAGTTGAGTTCCCTTGCTACAAAAGGCAATCCACCATCAAGGATATCACTCTTGGCACATTTCACTGTTTTAGAGACTAGTATCTGTCTAACAAGTTACAAGCACAACCAATGCAAAAAGACCAACTACCACAATTATAGCTCACAGACAAAAGCTGATAATGATGACTGAACATATTAAAATAAAAGATGTCTATTCTGGCACAAAGGTAAGTTATGTTGATACGAAATTGCTTATCCAATTGAATACATCTATAGAGCACAAGTAAGTACACATGACTATCTAAAATGTGACATGAGACATACTCGTATAAGAAAATTAATGATCATTTCTTCCATAGCAGCATTAGGCTTGAACTCCTCATCAGGTGGTCCAGCAGATCCAGGAGTTTCAATGCTAGAAATTGAAGAGGCACCTCCAGGGGACATGACACACAAAGATTGCAAACCAGGTTCAACCTTTATTCTCTTTGTTGGATCATCAGAAAATGAAGATCCATCAACAGAAAGCTTAGGATCCACTACAGAAGTAAAATTTGATCCATCAGTAACCTGACAGGTGCCATCACTACTTGCACCTTTCTTCAGGTCACTTTGCCTTTGTTTTTCCCAGTTAACAACCAATCCAGCAAGTTCAATAGCAAGGCGCCTATTTTCTGGTGTAGTGTTATACGGCAGCCCAAGGCGACTAAGAGAATTTACCATTTGAGGGACAAATTGTGCCCTACAGCTGTAAAATAGATCTGAATGGCGGACAATTAGCTGGAAAATATGAATAAGATTAGGGATGGAGTGACCTTCTTCGACTAAAATTTTCTTAGTATAACGTATCCATATAGGCATCCGTGAATCACCAAGTGGCAATCTTCGTGGCAGTGCCGGCATAAGTATGTCAAGGGCTTGTTTCACCAACATTTTATTCTCTGGCTGGCAAGTCCTCAGAAGTGCAACAAACACCTGCAACTTCAGGTAGTTAACACAGCACGTAATTGAAAAAAAATCCACCAGCACCATATTGCACAAAAGGTTAACCATAGTTCCAAACAAGCTTTTTCATTCAGACAAAAAGTCATTCTTATATTAAGACGAGAAATACAAATCATCAAATGATTTGGTAACAATCTCCATATAGTCTAACCTGAATTCTTTCATTTTAATATAGAAACAACATCTATGAAAAATAATTACATATTTGGACAATATGAAAATAAATGAATAATATTTAGATAAAATAATTACATATTTAGATAAAATAATTGAAGAAGCATATAAATGTATTAGAAGAGTGGAAGCTGAAACTCATCATGAACAATATTTTACAATAGATTTCTATACATAATGAAGATTGTGTGCTCTGAATATTATTAATTACAATTGTCACTGAGCTGAAATGAATTGGAAAAAAAAAAAAAAAAAGGAAGAATCCTCAATAACATTTGCTTGTTGAACCAATCTACTCAAATGTCTACGTTCCTGTTCTACAAATACGATTTATTATTATTTTTTAACAATCACAAGGCACAGCCATAGACCCTGCAAAGACACTTACAGAAACTTATCATTGATAAAATAGAGCAAGGACCTGTAATATGATTTTCTCTGGAGCTTGGTACGCCTCCAAAAAGTGGCAGACATTCACAAATGCCCACTGCTTACTAGCACTATCTTCACGCTTTAGATGATTCCAACCAAATTTAATAAGTTCCTTCCGATGATGAACAAGGTCACTCTGAAGATGTTTGAGAAGCAGAGTGGCAAGCTGCAGAAGCTCAATCCTCAGGGCCTCATCATAATCCGCAGATATCTAGGAATATGAAAGTAAAAATTGCTTTCAGACTTGAACAAAAGTAAATCATAATATCCTCAGACCCCACAACATAAGAATATTACAAAAGTAACACCGAACTATCCAAAATCGTATGGCTACCAATACGATTGTCATGAAAATGTGATAATCATTAACTTAGATGGCCTATTTGCAAAGTAATTATACTTTTTACTTTCCCAGCAACAATGATTCTATTTCTTAAGCTGTGTGAAAATTGCCGTAGCCCAATCTTTGTGTGGGACAAAAGAACTAATAATTAAAGAAGGTTTTGCAAGTAAAGAGTTAAATGAAGACATGTGTAAACAGTATCACAAAATTTCGTGAAGACAATAATCCCTTGCAACATTGCTGAAAGTAAAACAATGTTATTTGGCAGCTATAGGCAAGTCAAGACTGATCAACAGTTCAAAAACAACTACGCCCTGGCTTCAGCAGCTAGAAATATAGGTAAAAACATATATTGAACCAACCGTAATGAATCCAATATATATATTATAATATTCTAGGAGACCTAGCCACCAGTCAATGAAACCCTAAGCATTAGGCAGACCGCAGGTCTGCAGCCCAATTAGGACCTGAAATTTACTCAAATTTCTGCAAGCTTGCTTGAATCGTGGTGATCTTAAGGCTACTATAATCCATCACTAAACCACCTCGATCTCGACAAAGTGCTTTTACATTCTATTCCAGTGAACCACCTATCCCTTGCTGCTGAAACTCCTCACATAGTACAATTCCCCTCAAAAACTATTAGCCAAAGGACCCCTCATAAACATAATAGACATCAAGCCAAATATGAGTGAGTGAGTGAGTGTGCTTAATATTGAAATAGCACACACACAGAATGTGATAAGAGTAAAGAATAAAGTGAAATATGATATTATATTAATGATAAATAGTAACCAGAAGCTTAAAGCTTCACAGCAGAACCGTTCTTTATGCCCAGCAAGAACTAATCTTGCCCTATAGCCAAAGCTATAACCATATGATTCTAATTGCCTACCTTACCTCAACTTGAGACCACCATATATTTATACTAAAGTGACATATTTATAAAAGATAATAATAATAATAATAATAATAATAATAATAATAATAATATAATAATAATAATAATAATAGAAGAAAGAAAATAAAGATCTTCAAAAGTAAATCGATCCAGATAACCACACCATCCTAAATCTATAGATTTATTCTTCTTTCCTTAGTTGCTTAATTCTTTATTCTCCAATACTAGTATTTTCCTGTGCACATGCACACAAATTTAAATTATTATAACTTATAAGTTATGTGTATGTGTATAACTGTAAAATCATAAGTTAAATAATAGTATCACATTTTAAGAATTTTATCGTTAGTAAAAATGAACATCATAATAGCATCCAAATTCATCACTATATTTATTATATAAAATAAAATGGATAATATGTATAATTATTTTAATTAAATTCAACTAATATAGTGTACAATCTTGAATGAAACATATGAATTTGAATTAGCTGGTGTAAAGATCTCTATTACAAAAGATGACCTTTCTTATATATATTTTGTATTATATCTATAGCATATCAATACTTAATACTTCTTTTGCATGTGAATAGTCAACATATAAATTAAAAAAAGAAATATTTTTAACCATACAAATCCAAAATATAGTAAAAAATAGGTGTATGATTGTATGGAATAAACTACAAGAAAAAAAAAATGTTGCAACGGTTTTTGGATGAAGGTCATAAAATTTATTATTAAATGCAACCTATTTTTACTAAATGAACTCATATTATTATTAATTGAAGGTTGAATAAAATTAAATGAAGCTTGCCAACAATTATATATATATATAGATATATAGATTACTCTCCACAATTTCTCCCTATTTCACGCGATCTTTATCAGAACAAGATCCTCAATCCAGAAAAAACAGGCAATGAGAGTGCACTAGAAAGGACAGGTAGAATAGGGTCTGTATGTTTGGAAACCCATAAGCATAAAACCATTGCTGTCAGCACCATTCAGCAAAATTATTACGAAACACACAAATATATAAATGCCAAATGATCATATCATATATATATAAAATAAAACATACCTCTTCCGGGGGATCAAGTAATTTGTCAACTATAGTCTTGATTGTGGCTGCATCAATGACTTCCCAAGTTTGACCATTTTGCAAAGCATGAGCTAACATCGGAAGAATGAGCATTTGCATTACAATAACCATATGCTCATGGCTTAATTGTTTCAACTGAAAAAGGTTCAGAAAATGAAGCAACAGTGTTTTCTTCAAGTTGGGTGGATAACCCTCAGCAACCTATACATCATAGTAATATTTGCACTGTCAGGCACTAAACAGATGAGAATAATTAGAAACAGCTAAATGATTCTACTAAGAGTAGTCCAAACTATATAACAACATTCATATACCTCAATGATGTAGAACTCCTTTAAGAAAGTAAAGTCTATGCGAGTCCGGTACAGAAATATGGCGAGAATATCAAACAATACATTAACCTCCATTTTGTCATGACGCAAGTAGTTCAGGAAACACTTTACTAACCACTTGCTTTCTTTTACCTGCACATATTTATTACGATTTCAGTACTCAGAAAGCTAATGCACAGAATCATGAAGGCCAAAACAGTAGCTAATGTCATTAAGAACTTATGGCACCACATGACTACAATTCCTGGAAATTATTTCATTGGTTTGATTGCATCACAAAAACATGGAGTAAAATGTTCTATCAGACTGAAAAAAAAAAAAAAAATCAATGTTTTATTAAAATTCAAATAATTCTGAAGGGGATTGGAAGGAAAGGGGATAGGTTTGAACCCTTGACATCACCACTAATAGTTTAGACCAAGTACACCCTCCCCCAATGAACAATTAAACCAGCATTTACACGCTTACTTTAACTCCAAAATCTCATGGTCTTTAAGAAAAGACTTAATGCCAAACTACCTAAACATACACTGAAACAAGTTCTGGACCATACAAGATTACCACAAAAGTAATCCATCTAAGGCTAATTATATTAACCTTTTAATAAATACCCCCTCCATCCCACAATGATAGGCTCATTAATTTTCGAACAGTTAAATAAAATAAGTCATTGTTATTGGGAAAGTAAAACTTAGGAAATTTCCCAATGATTGTTATGGTTTTAATTAGTTCATAGACATATAAATTAAACAAGGGTAGGAAAGAAACTTAATTCTTTAATTACTCTATCTAAAGAACAAGTCTACCACTGCAGGATAACCGAAATTGCATTGTAGACTATTTTTGTAGGATGGAGGCAGTATGAAAAATGAGCACTTATATATATATAAATATATATATATATATATGTGTGTGTGTGTGTGTAGAAGTGCAATGTGTAACATATACAAATAGTGCAAACAATGCATTGTGCGTATTCCAGATAATACCCCCCAACCCCCCAGCCCCTAACAACATACTTTTATGTCTATGCTACTCTACTCCTATATTTTTCTAACCCAAAAACTTCCATCACCTCATTGACCACCTTCACATAGACAATCCAAGAGCCAACTCAACCATCAATAGTACTGTCAAGATGATATTTAATTATTTATGACTGA